CATTTAGAATTAGGCGATTTTGCCGCAGATAAAACAAATAGATACCGTTTACATTTTAAACAGAAAAGTTTATTAGCCTTGAATCAAGGTTCTAACTACTCTTGGAGGTAGCGGATTGCGATCCGCTACACTCGCACTGGTTCTAGTGAAGAACGTAAGGTCGGTGACCTAAATTACGCATCGTCTAAGCGCAAAGCTACGGCAGCCCCGCTGCACTTGGTAGCACTAGTAGTCAATCTACACCTGAGTCGTCTAGACTGATCCTCTGTGAGGATGAACAGTTTTCCTCTTGGCCCCACGGCATGCAGGACGGGCTTAAAAAATTGATGTCCTTGCTGGGCCCTGAGGGCGTGCAACACCTTGCTGCGCAAGGCCTCGAGGCAATCGGTGCGCGTCTAGAGGCATTTTTAAACTACGAAAACGCGCTGCTAGAGTACCTGCAGCAGAAGATGTCTGCATTATATGCGTCTATGACGCTACCGTCAGTGACGGATGATTTTCCCCGCCCTAAGCCGCTCATGTGAGCGTTGAGGTTTTCGAGGGAAAGGGTGGAGAGAATCTCCTGCTCTGGGTGAGAGAGGTCGAGATGGCCATGGCATCCGCCATGCTCCAGACCGAGCAACAGCGCCATCTCAAAGCTCGGTGGTCGAGCGCGAGAATGGTCAGTCCGGCACTTGGGTCGAAGTGCATTTTCCTCCTGGGCACGACTTGGTTGGATTGCACACTCCAACAGCTCGTGGAGCAGGCCTGTGCCCATGGATCTCAGCAATGCTGAGGGCGCGAGAGCAGAGCTCCGAGCTGCCGGGCAGCACACACACAAGGGTGTTTTGTTTGTGAAGACATCCGTCACCTTCGGAGCGGTTGCCCCTGGCGCAAGGCGCGTCAACGTTTCTTCGAAACATCGCCCCAGTTCCCACCAGTCTGGTTCGTCGCGGGGAAATCACACCACTCAGTAAGCGTGGGGCGACCTATTGGGGAAGAACTAAGTTCTGTTGAGCCACAGGGAGGTATAGGTCAGCAGGGCCCAGCCCCGAAGAGCTCTGTGCTCTTGAACACGAAACGTGTATGCAAGCCGGGCTCGCTGGTCGTGGAGGCGACCGTAAAGGGCTTCGATAAGCCATGGAAGATCCTCATCGATTCTGGGGCGTCGGGCAATTATGCTATACGCCCCACGATGGAGGGAAGTCAGCTGTATGCTGAGGCGCTGAAAGCGCGATTGGGAGACATCGTCACTGTTCGCCTAGCGACGGGGTCACGTGTCACGGCCCCGAAGATCTCTGTGGACCTCGGAGTCATGTTCACTGACTTTGATAGCGTGGAACGCAGTCTAGACTTAAACTTGGATGCAGGTATGGCCTCATCCTAGGAACGGCAAGGTTGAAACACCATGAGCCATGGATTGATTGGAGATCAAAGACCTTGGGCGCTACGCGCACGTCTCCCGGTGGAGCTTTGGCGAGTCATGAATCCATCTCTGTTAGGACACAGAAGCGCTATTGGCGAGAGCACTGGACCGAGACGGTCAACGTGCTGGGCGTTGAAATGTCCGATTTGGTAGATACCAACGGTGTATCTGACAGGAGTCCCGAGCGTGGCTCACGGGCTGATCGTGTAGTGGCACGTAACCCACTGAGCGATGCTCAAGC